ATACGGTCGTAGTAAAACAATTTTTGTCTATAGTAATTAACGTGATTACGATAATTTTCTTTACATTAGTCTTATTAACGAGATTATATTTTATATTTCGGATTAAAATTCCAACGGAACGTCGTCACTTCGTTGTAGTATATACTATGTATATAATATGTACGCATACAGTATATATGTATGTATGCGTGTTATCGTCAACAGTGTAGTCTCTTTGATAAGGCTACACTCTACATAATACGTAATGAAGGATTTTTGTTTGTAATTTGACTAACGGCACACTACAATAACGGTCATCCTATATTATCATTTTCGTCTTCATCACCTCTTAGCGCTCTACTTTAGAACATGGGCACCATTACTGGATATCTAAGTATTATCTCCTTGATGCTGCTACTGCTAAAGAGATAGATATAGAGTGAGAAAGAGAAGGAGGGAATCTCTTTCTCGTCACACAGAGCATATTACAGTGCCCAATCATACAGACACTAACCCATCCTAAGCTTCCCATATTATCTGATATATTGCTTACATAATAATATAGAACTGGGCTTAAAAGCAGTACTACCTACAATAAACTGTTACGAGATGAGAGATATTGCTATCTTATATCTAAAAATTACTAATATATGTTGTTAAATAAATACAGGACCCTGGACTCGCAGCCACTAGAGCACACAGTCGTGAACACTACTATAATGATTAATTCTATCCGACAAAACAATAATTATTTGTATGTCTGTAACAAAAGTCGCCAATATCAGATATCAAAACAAGGATTTTATGACAGGATAACAATGATACGTACGGTATCGCTTAACAAAAATTATTGATTATTATGAGAGGCGAGGTGGTTTAATGGCTGGTACTGCAAAATGCCACCTAGCGGCCTTATACTCAATAGAAAGTCGTGCTAAGAGGCTTATTGGTGACTCAAATCTGGATAAAACTATTTCAAATAGTGTGCGCAGGAATGAAATAACTTATTTCCTCCCTCTATCGGACAACCGGACGCTCGGTTAGTTACGACGCCATCGCTGACGACTTGCTATGTATTCATACCAAACGGTTTGCTTCATCGTTCGTTATGCGTACAACAAAGTCATGGAATATGTCGCCAGCGTCTATCGTACCATCTGGTTACAAAATCAGTGCGTTTTGCCATATTCATGTTAAGATCGATCTACCATTTAGGACTTCCTCACTAAATACCCTCAGCTGGGATTAGAGTTTTATTAGTTGTTAGTCAAGCACTAGCTTTGAATAAAAGGTGGTTCTGTATAGTAGCGGTGTGAGCATATTCACTACCCCATATCGTAAGTGTCGGAGGAGACGATAGAGGGAAACAAAAATTTAGAAGCAAATAAACCTTTTTTATTTCAAATTTACCTAAAAACTTATCATACAATCGTGTTAGCTTCGAGTGGTAATCTAATTTCGAACAGGACATATAAGCAGGCAAGTAAGCTTATAACGAAGAGCCACATGGGCGCGGCTTCTGTTTTTTTTTTTCTTTTCACATTCTTAATAAATTGCTTAAAATTAGTAAAATTAATAAATATCAGATTAATTAATTCCATTTTTGCAAAGTGACAGGACTTTTTTTGCCTAGAAGTCCGTCTGGATAGATCCATCGATCCATTGAGGCCATCCTCCTACCCATTTCTGCCCTATTACCTACTTATGTTACTAAATCATAAATTAGATAAATAAAGCAGTCTGCATAGCAGAGAATGAATACATTTGTATGGACTAAACTCCGTGCTATCCGGACTCCGGATATCTTCTTAAGTACTATAAACGAAGAATCGATGAATAACTGACGGCTCTATGACGCAGTGACTTAGCAATGAGTGGCTGCACTAGGGGACGTGGGTTCGAATCCCGCACGGAACAAGTATTTGTACAAATAATTGGCCTATATATAATTGTTCCGGGTCTGGATGTTTGTCCTTGTGCAATTTATGTTTGTATACTGCCTCCACGATACAGGAGAAAATCCTAGTGCGGGGGTAACGTTTAAAAAAAACTGTGACTTATGCTCATGGCTTAGGCTAAAGCCATGTTATAGAGCATTCGGCGAAAAATTTAGTATAAAACGTGTACACAAAATATAAAGTACTCTTTTTTTTGTATGTCCTACTTTCCTTTAATATTATAACTGCAATGTGCATTATCATGGTGTGTGAATTTACATGAAATGCGTTACTTGTTTTTAAATTTAAAAAATCTAGCAGTTTGTACATTTACAGTATTCAACCGTTTAACCATTCTGGTTGAAGCAAATGCGGAGTGAGGCTCAATACGCTTGTTACAGAGTTATTTACGACGATAGTCCGGCTACTGTTGATTTCAAATAGATCCATATAAATTAAAAAATGCAATATTGTTGGTTTGGTTTAGTGCCAGAAAAGAAAATCACAAAATCTGGCCCCTAAAGTTCAATAAAAAGGGATTGTAACAGATTAACATTTTTTATGGAATAAGGGTGACATATGAGCACACGGTCCACCTGATGATAAGCGGATGCTGTGACACATAGGCATCTATATCTGAGAAATAAGAATCGAAATGCAAATGCGTTACAACCCTGAGCACTAAAATAGAATGCCTCGTTTCCAATAAAAAGAGCCTCCGGTTCCCTACACTCGCCATACGAACACAGCAGCATTGAGTTGCTATTTTACGTTGGTATTTTGCGAGAGCGTGGTCCTTTCCCCCGGTGAGCCGACCCATTCGTGTTTCTACCATAACATAATATTTACACACAAAATTATTATTATCGAGTGAACGTTTTATTGTTAAGTATTTGAGAAGGACGTCTGTGACAGATAAATAGCCATACTGACAGACTATGAGACGATCCCGAATTTTGACATGATGTCAGCAAAGTGACGTCCATGCGAGCAAAACCGCGGGGAAATGCTAGTTATTATAGATAAAGACAAGTTTCTCCAAGAGAAAAAATGTACAGTAAATGTCCTAATCTCAAAATATAAAGTCGTAAATCCATGATAACTTAACAAATAACCAATCTCTAAAAGGTAGATTTATGAACTTAACCCGTCTCTAACAATTATGCACATACATATACATAATATGTGCTATAAAATGAACTAATCTGCGTCGAACACGTCACGTGTGACTTACTTAAAGTGTGACTTTACATAGACAATGCCCCGGGCGCATCGAAATTGACCGGGTTCGGTTAGATAGCATCCGTCCTATTACATATACCTGTTCGATTACGCATAATTTCGCGCTGAGTCATACGGACGGCGAAGGCGTTCACGCATACAATATTATACCTATACTAGATCTATAAGATCTAAATAGAACTTATCGCGTAAAGTTAAACATAAGTACCACAGTTTATATTCGTTAATAAATGAGAGTGCGTCTGGCGGAATTTATGTCTTCAATTTTTTTTTATTCCTCAGCCATGCAAGTTTCCTCACGTTTTTCCTTCGCCGCAGAATATACGATTCATCAGCACATAAAACTGCAATTAACAATCTCATTGGTGCCGCCGGGAAATTAACCCTGTTGTTTGGCGTGTGAAATTTACGACAAGCGATTAGCCCTTCCTGCAACGCAACTAAATTCGTTTATCAACAATTTAAAACTATGATACACGAGGGGAATACTATGTCAAATCTCCAAGTCGTCGTCCGTTAATCCCTGACGCAGAATCCATCCAAGAATCTCGAACCAAAATTTCGCAGGCTAGTAATAGGGAACAATATTACCAGTAACGTTCGCTAACGCTCTTCCAGCCAGCAGCAGACACATTCTTTAAAAGACCTACGTCCAGCTGTGGACATTGTTTAAAAGTTGTTTATAGAAGAAAGAAAGAAAAAAAAAGAAAGAAAGACATTTATTCACTGAAACTTCACTGAAAGATTGCATCTGTTAATTGGAAAACGATTCCTTTGGGATTCGGTAATATTGGTGGTTAAATGTACATAGACACGTTAAAATTGTCAACCCGATAAAATGCTATATTTAATTATTTTATGTAGCTATTTTTCAAAATAATCCTAAGGATTTAGACTGTCAGTATACTTGTAAAAGCAAATCCAGTGGATGACGCCCATTAATGATTAGTTGTGAATTTCTATAATCTAGACTCTAAAGGCATTTTCTAATGAAGTAAAATATAAAGATAATTCAGTATATTTCCAAAAATATTGTCTTAAATACGTCTTAATAAAATATTATGTTAATATAAGTATGCAAATGAATAGGTACTGATTGGTTATCCTTCATTTGTTTGTACTTTTCAATCCAAGTTAGAAATAGCGTCGCAACGACAAAACAGTTGTTAAGATGGGTTTGAATTATTCCTCAGCGCGTCACGAATCTATTAAATAAACGTTGGAGGTCGGCATACCTTTGTAACTTTGTTCATTGCTTGTATCATCTGGATTTACAAGCAAAAAGTCGCTAGTTTTTACTAAAATAGTCGCATAGAATTCATCATGTCTTTAATTTTCAGTCTAACATAAGTCTATAATGTAACAATAAATTTTCGGAAACCATTCCAAGTTACACGTGGCAGACGGTAAGAGATTACAGTATCAAAGGTCTGACAGTACCAGTAATACACAAGAAAATTTTAAGCATATACATATTTCGCAAGTTATAATTTTTGTAACCGAAAATATTTTTTTTGTTTTTGAAATATTGGTATATGATTGGTGTATGACAAACAAGAACGATGGCTTGATAATTGATATTCAGCGAATGCTGCAGCTCGCTTCTTAACCAATTCCTATCTTCAAACCAAAAATTCTAAAGATTTATTTTCACTCTTACGGACTTACTATAATAGTCTGGTACTGGTGCTCTTCCTTGCCTTTCCAAACAGAACACAGTGGTGGGTAAATTGCTTCTAAAATAAAAATCAATGAAATATCACTTTAGCCAGAACGATAATAGGCCTTACCATACCAACCGATAAATTGGACATGACTGATAAAATTATCTTTTGTTCACAGTCAATGATCCAACTCAAGGAACGGAAGGAAATGGATGAGGCTTTCAAGAAAGCACAGAAGCCCTGGGCGAAGCTGCTACAGAAAGTCGAGCGTACCAGGCTGGAGTATCACACTGCGTGCAAACAGGAACGGACGGCACAGAACCAAGAGAGAAATGCTAGTGGCGACAGCTCTTTGAGTCCTGACCAGGTAAGTTTATTGGTAACCTTTATCTTGCTTTCATTTTCATATTTACAGGATACTTCAGTCAGAATGAGTACATTTTAGTATCGATGAAAATCTGAGACATAGTACGGAAAATGATAAATCGATGTATTTTAATATACATAATGTAAAGAATTCAACGTTAACAAAAAAAAATAATTTCGTGAAATTCTTTTCGAAGACTTGCTATAATACTAGGTTACTTTTACTAAACAAACTGTGATGTCGATTGTTCTACTGGAGTCCGAAAACCGAACATACTCCCAACTATTATATAAAAGCAATTTGTCAGGGCTTTAGATTTTCAATAAAGTAAACATTATGTGTAAATAGGCGGGGTTCAGAGCCAATCTGGAAATTAGATATCACAATGTCACAATTTGTGTAAAGAATGATCTACAGTCATTTTCCATATATTCCAATATCGGCCATAGAACCACATCCCTTGCTTTTTGTTCTTTGAAACTCAGGCTCATTAAAAATATAGTGTAGAGGCCACTGTAATAACTTTACACATCATTGTGTACACTAAGAAATCAAAATAAAAATACAAATATATTGCGGATTCAGCAATATATTTATTTTATTTTTATTTTATACTATGTTTCGGGTATAAATGTATTTTTCTTATCTGGCTGGGCCATACAAATACATAAAAGAGAATGATAAATATACATCAAATATAAAATATAGTTATCAATTGTTTAATTCTATTTATTAAGATTTTTTTTAATTTTAAAGCGGCTTTTGATTTAACCAAATTCCAATTCCCTTAACTTTTATAATTTTTACGTATAATGTTTATAAGGTTTTTTCCGGTTTTACAAGACGTGCTATGTATTTTGATTTCACTCTTGCCCGCACTGCGTCAGTGCCACACAAATAACAGGCGATGTATCTATTCCGCTCTTCTCCGATGGTGTTCCCAGCAGAGATGTGTAGCAGCATCTTCCTGATAACACTAAAAATATAAAAAGCTGCGGTTGCCAACCCGCCTGCAATCGTGGCAAGTATGGCAAATCCCCCTTGTGAGGCAATGTATTGGGAGGCCTTTATTCAGCATAGGACTTTTTTCATGAACCGTGATTACAATTGTAATGTTGAAAAGGAAATGTATTTAATCGAAATGGAAAGGTTATAAACTCTTAGAAGAAGCACACATCAAAAGGTTCTCAGAAACGATTATGTATATACCATTTACAGCTAAGAACGCAATAATTTGTGCTGATTTCATGTTCGCTATGTTGCGATATTGGTGTGAAAACAAAACGCCTCAACCACACCGTAGTGATATCTGGGTTGCATGAATCCTTGCATCTTTAACAAGTCTGTTTGTTATTCATGATTCACCAACTCCTCGATGTTTGATTTGAAACGGATATTATCTTATTAGTCTTTTATGCTACGTTCTGACCTAGATTTCGTATATATTGTATATATATATATATATATATATATGTATATATATATATATACATATATACACGTGTGTGTGTGCGTGTGTGCGTGCGCGTGCGCGTGCGTGCGCGTGCGTGCGGGGCGTGCGTGCGTGCGTGTGCGTGTTTTTGTGTGTGTGTGATAATAGTTAACCGTACCGTAACCGCACCGTACCATACCATACCATACCAACTCCAATGTTAGAGACGTAGCAACTACTCTATTAATATTGCAGGGCCCTGATCTAAAGAAACGCCAACACGCCTATTTCCAGCTGGAGTATGTTCCGAAAAAGGGTATACGAAGATAATGGTTTTTCTTGCAAAAAAAACTTGTTACTTGCTATCATTGAACGTCAATGTCGGGTGCTATGGTATGGTGCGTTTCTCTATGGGTGCGTTTAATGCGTCATTCCTTTATTTTTGTAATTTGTCATCAAAACTAAAAAAAACAATTTTTTATTTATTGAAAAGATTAATTTTCTATAAGAGCCGTAAATTTCACTTAAAGTTTCGATGCAGTAGTGAGTTACAAGCTGGAAACAACCTCATTTCAATATATTTTCCCTCTCGAATTTTATTTTCATAGTCTTGAATTTTACAATATCAAAATATTTTTACTAGAATTTTCTGTAGGGTCAACTATTTCATTACTCTACGCACCATAAATGCAAAGACCTATGCAACTCTTAATTACAACTAAAGCATTACCTACCAAAAATAAACCATTAAATACGTATTGTTCGCATCTTATAGAACAGTGATAATTTAGTCGGCGTTCCTTTCATAGTAAAAGCAACCAACAATTTACAATTTAATTAACTCTCGATCAAGTAAGATGACACCGTTCAACCCTTAATTTAGTCGAATGGCTTTGAAAGCGAATCTCAATCAGAAGTGATGTATTTGCTTGGATCTCTATAATTGTATTCTCATAAAGGTAGGCAAAAAAGTTATATTCAGCATTGAAATGCCTTAAAACATTGAATCAATTTTTTTTAATCTTAATTTTCATATTTTTTTGTTGTATATTATAACTGGAATTACAAAGATCTGAAAAAGCATTACGACCATTGTGATGCATAAACTAAACTATTTAAATAAATATTAACTAAAATAATATATATATTTAAATAGTTTAAGTTAAATAGTATAATTTAACTAAAATCGTTATTCACATCTAAATCAGGATGTAAATCTTTCCAAAGTTAAAATTCAAATTCGTTGATGATCGTAAATATTTCTAACACTAAATTGAGTTTCAAGGGATAAAAAATATAATTCAATGTCTTCTATATTTATCACCAGCTATGTTTTTTCCATAAGACACAAGACGAAATTCGGTTACAAACTGTTTGGAATCGCAAATAGGCCAAATCAAAAGTTGATGCCGTTGCTTGTTTGGATATTTTACGTATGATGTAAACTAAATGTTTACAGCGCAATCTTTTGATTGTTGTCCATGCTTTCACAGAATACAAGCATGACGAGCAATTTAATTTTGCACTATAGCTTATGCTTCGTATGGTGAGTGTAGAAAACCGGAGACCCTTTTACTGGAAACGAGGCACATCATAGTCTTCAGAAGTGACTACGCATCTGCATTTTGATACTTAACTGAAGATAGATGTAGATGTCTATGGGCCACAGCATCCGCTTACCAACACGTGGACTGTATGCTACTTTGTCACCTAAAACTTTTGATCTTTCTGGCCATAAGTCTCCATGTAGCCTGTTACGACACCCATGGGTTTTAACAATCCCTTGTCTACGTCCCGTAGCGTAACACCACATGGCAAATATTATGTGTGTGTGTACAATTAGATATATCCATGTTTATAGATTAAATTGACTCACAACAAAACCTTTGGTTCTTGAACGTCATTACGTATTAAGAAAGGTTGAGAGGATCAGATAAAAGTTATACTACAATTTTATTGTACTTAAAGAAAACAACATAACATGAAACTAGCATAGAGAGAAAACAAAAAATGGTCATATTCCTATACAGCAATTTATTCCAGATAATCGACAAAGAAACAAAAAAGAGAACAATTTAAGTTATCCACAGGATAATATAAAACTTAAACATATTAAAGGCCAAACCTTCATTTGTTATACTGACAATACAGCGGAATACAGACTACCCTATGCTTCTGTTTAAAAGCTACTAAAAAAGCATGCTTGCGGCTTTAGGGAGCGCGAACTGAACGTCTTGCCCGGTATCGATCCGCCGACCCGCTCAGTTCTTTGACCACTCGACCTCTATCCAATCGAATGCTATCGTTCGGCATGTCTACCTGTATTACGTTATTGTATATGTAGTTAAAGTATGTAAATATTGATGTTTGTTTGTTATGGGGACTCATTTCAAACTTACTACTATCTTTACTATCTTTAAATGTTTAAATACTGTTTATAAGGCTTAAGGCATATAGTAGAGACCGTTTTATCATAACACCGAACGATCCGCCCCACTACACACTTTTTACACTAGCATGTTTGAGACTTAATAAAAAAGAATGGTGTGTTAAGAGCCTGCCATGGCTTAAAAGACGATTAATGAGATATTGGGTTTATGATTATGTAGGCTGGCAATGAGCTAGCCACCAATCTCTTTTTTCACAGTTTTGCATCTAAACCCATATATTTTGGCTAAACGTGGTCCGCACAGCTCGCTGCTGTTCAAACTGGCTTTCCACTCAGTTATTACAGGCCTGAAGCTATGTATTTGACTATGTATTGAGTGTTTTTTAGTTGCATAAGAAGTTTTGATGGTTGTTGTCTATGGTTTCTATGGTTTGATAGTTGAGAATGGCTAACTAGGTTGACATTTCTGTTCAGTAAGGTTTGACAATTCAATATGAATCTTTTAACGCCAGAATAACGCTTCCAAATTGCGGAAATTTATTTTGAAAAAAAAAAATAAACTGTTCGCGAAGCTAAAGAGCACTTCTTTCATTTTACGGTCAACATAATCGGCCTAGTGAGCAAGCAATTCGTGCAGTTATTGATCGTTTTCGCACTAATTTTACTCTTCTTGATTCAAAGCCATCAACAAGGCAAAGAAATATGCGTACCGAAAAAATATTGCTGCAGTAGCGCGAAGTGTTGAAGAAGATGCCGAAATGTCTATTCGTCGCCGTTCTCAAATTGTTGGCCTTTGTCCCTCGACTACGTGAAAATTTTTCGTAAGGATCTTGGCTTACGTGTCTATAAAATACAGCTCGTGCAAGAATATCAAGTGACGTACAGTTTCGTGGTCACTTGGAAGAGAAGGCCAAATTGGCCTCTAAAAAGCTTGGCGTGCTCAGCAGAGCGGGAGAGTATTTCATGCCGGCACACCGCCTGCAACTTTATGGGCACAGGTTCGGCCGCACATGGAATACTGTTCCCATCTCTGAGCTGGGGCTCCCCAGTGCTAGGTCCTTCCATTCGATCGCAACCAGCGCAGAGCAGTTCGAATCGTCGGCAACCGAGCTTTTTCCGATGGGCTTTACTCACTGGCACTGCAGAGAAATGTTACATCTCTGCGTATTTTATCGTATT